CTACTTTCTATTCATGGCGTATAGACATAGGGCTGTGCAATTAATCGCATGCGATTAATTGCACAGCCCTATATTGACAAATTTCAAATGATTTTCAACGGTCGCGGTGTTGTGGCACAGACACGGTGTTACTCGCCTATCGAGAAGAAACAAAGCAACCTCGCCGTCCGATCGCAGTCCTTCCGCTCCTTGAGTTGTCTCCAGCGCTGGAAAGCTGATCCGATATTTACACGGGTCCTGCTTCTTGCCTTATTGCCTTAAGCCTCCTTTTGTTCCGCAGACGTTTTCCTCTTGTTTTTTTTATCCGCCATCTCTATCTTTCTGTCGCTCGGCTCGCTAATGTTCGTCCTGTGCACTGAACGCTCTCTCCTCCACATCATGAGTAGACACGCCCCTTACTGCTGATTGGCTACAAGTTTGTTTTGCTAGTGGGCCCGAATCAGTTTTCTAAAGCGTTTTTGAAAAATCGCTTACCCCACCTTTAACTCTGAACCTAATGAAATATACACATGCATCATGGCCTCACTGTAAGCAGCAAAACAGCCTGAGGTTTCTTTTTTAAATGTTAAAGCGGTATGATGGTTTGTGGACAATATAATAATGAAATAAAGAGTGAAGTTGCATTTCACACTAAGACTTTGGTAAATGAGAAGAATAGCATTGAATGCTTAATGGGTTTAATTCTTGGCCTCTCGAAAAGCATGTTTATCTGTAGAGACTAGTACGTGGTACACAATATGACAGGAAAGGAACCTCAAAACTTGTTTCTTTTCAATAAATAATGACAAGGAATGTAAACGTGTTTTTGGGATTATGATTGGGTGGTCAGCAAAAAAGTGCAATGAGTGATAAAACTCTTCTTTAATTGACGTAAAGTTAGGTTTTGACCCTGTTTGCACAGGGTTTGTGTGTGGCAGCCTTTGGGATGATCATTCAAGTGGAGGATAAGTGTGTTTACTCTTGAGGTGAGGCGGTATTCATACTGGCCAAGGTTTGCTCTTTGCAGGACTGTTGTCGATCTCCATGTCCATTTCTACAAAGTCGGCAGGGCCATAATCACTACCCTGTGAGCTGGAGTCCCTGTCTGTTTGCTGGTCATTTCTTGTCCTCCCAAGGCAAAGGCCGGTTTTGGCTGGACGCACCAGTCCAAGAAACAGAGCCCCGACTCCCATCCCAGCCGCGCAGGAGTAAAAGGCTGATCCGTAATTGGCAGTCGTGTCTACCAGAAAACCTAAAACAAAAAACACAAGATGACCTCCATAAATGTGTGTGGGAGGAAAATTTATAGGTTTATAACTATTTCTGGAGGAAGTATGAATGGTTTGCAAGTGTATTTCAAATCGGAGTCCAGATTCATGGGGGTCACTGAAACATTTGAAAGAAAATAATCTTACAAAATGCAGCTTCAGGACCTGGATGACTTGCCATAATTGATGGAACCATAAAATCTGTGCTCCATCAGAAAATCCTGAAGGAGAATGTCCGGCCAACAGTTTGTGACCTCAAGCTCAAGTGCACTTGGGATATGTAGCAGGACAATGATCCCAAACACACCAGCAAGTCCACCTCTGAATGGCTCAAAAAAACGAAATTAAGGTTTTGGAGCAGCCAAATCAAAGTCCGGACTTAAATCTGATTGAGATGCTTAAACAGTCCATTCATGCTCGAAAACCCTCCAATGTGGCTGAATTAAAACAATTCTGCAAAGAAGAGTGGGCCAAAATTCCTCCACAGCGATGTGAAAGACTCATTGCCAGTTATCGCAAACACTTGATTGCAGTTGTTGCGGCAAAGCGTGGCACAACCAGTTATTAGATTTAGGGGGCAATTACTTTTTCATGTAGGCCAGGCAGGTTTGGACAGCTTTTTTCCCTTAATAAAAGAAATCATCATTTAAAAACTGCATTTTTCATTTACTTGCATTATCTTTGTGTAATATTAAAATTAGTTTGATGATCTGAATCTTTTAAGTGTGACATATGCAAAAAATAAAAAAAAACAAAGGGGGCAAAAACCTTTTCACACCACTGTATATAACATTCAAAACAAGTCTGCCTGTGCGTTAAAAGGGCTAGTAAACCCACAAATTAATAATATATCATCATTTGCTTATCCTCATGTCGTTTCAATCCTGATTGTCTTTAATAGGTGGAGCTCAAAAGAAGATATTTTTTTTAAATGTCCCAGTGTTTTTGTTTCAATGAAAGTCAATGGAGTCAAATACAGTTTTGGATAAAAGCAGATGGAACATTTTTCAAAGTATGTTTTGAATGAATGACATGAGGGTGAGAAAATGACGCAATTTCCATTTTGCGTGAACCATCCAGATGAGTATGTTGCACTGCTTTGGCGATCAAACCTGGCGCAAGTGCTAGCAGGGAGAAGCATTCTCCTGTGGAGGCTATGGATGTGACGAGGGAACGGCGCTTGCTGAAGTACTGCGACAAGATAGTAACTGTAGGCAGGAAGGTAAGGCAGTAACCCAGGCCTGTAAATAAACAGCAAAGAGGGAGATGACAGCCATTGGTCCCTTCAACACAAGGGGCTCAGGTCAGTCTGAGGGGCCGGGCTCAGAGCACATCAAGAACCAGGTTGCTCTCTTCCGTAGCACAAACTGGACAGAGGGCTGAAAGAAAACTGTATTTAAAAGAGACAAGGAGAAACAAAGATCGGCGAGGTTAGGATCAACTAATGATGGGGGGGAGGGAGTGTTTTGATATTTGGGGAAAGCTAGCAGTGCATCTTTTGAGAAATCTGAAAAACAAAATGAGCATGTGGTCACATTGAGTGTCAATTCAAAATTGAGCAATTGAGAGCATTTATATATATTTTTGAAAAATCTGTTTTTTTTAACAATAAATGAAAAAGGGATTCTCCATATGTGGATTGGACGGCTTGAGTGTGAATAAATTATTCAATAAAAATGAAATCTTCAAACATACTGTGTTATATTAAGGTATTTAGAATGTGCATTATGATATATATTTTAACAAATTAGTGTCTGTGTATAACTGACAGCTTTCTTAAAAGAAGGAAGTTTAAAATAAGCCAAGTTCACTTTTGGATAATGTGTTTGAATCCCGCAACTGTATGTCAACACATGAAAACACTCCACCCAAAACCACTATGATATGTTCATCCTGTTTTATATAAGGGTGTGTGTTACTAAAGCTGTCAAGAATCAGTTTCATTGATGCTGACAAGTCATACACCAGTCACAACACTGCTTGAATTCCCTCTGTCTTTAAAAAAAGTAAGTGAATAGAAGAGAACATCATGTTTACTAAGGAAAAATAATTAATCATAAAGTAATGAAACAGAAAATAAATGCTGACAAGTCATACACCAGTCACAACACTGCTTGAATTCCCTCTGTCTTTAAAAAAAAAAGTAAGTGAATAGAAGAGAACATCATGTTTACTAAGGAAAAATAATTAATCATAAAGTAATGAAATTACTTCAATAAATATGGGTAATGACAGAATCCATGACTATTATTTATGACAGAAAATATTCTACCCTTCATAAGTTTGAGCTTGGTAAGATTTATAACTGTTTTTGAAAGAAGTCTCTTATGCTCACCAAGGCTGCGTTTATTTTATCAAAAATACTGTAAAAGCAATATTTATAAAAAAAAAAAAAAAAGTTTTCTATTTGATTACATTTTAAAATTTAATTTATTCCTGTGATGCAAAGCTACATTTTAAGCAGTCATTACTCAATTTGTCAGTGTCACATGATCCTTCAGAAATCATTCTAATATGCTGATTTGCTGCTCAAGAAACATTTCTTTTTATTATCAATGTTGAAAACAGCTGAGCTGCTTAATAGTTTTGTGTGCATTTTTCAGGATTCTTTGATGAATAGAAAGAACAACATTTATTTGAAATAGAACTTTAACCAGATTCTAAGAGCTAACTAACAGTTTTAAACAAAAAGGAAGAGTGTTACTTTGCAAATGCTATGTATAGAAAATCTGTTCCTTCTTTAATATAAAAATTAAATATTAATCAGTTTTCACAATATCATGCCACACCACCCTGAGGAAAAATGTTTTCAGTTACACACTGCACTTGCAACAAAAAAAGCAAGTACTGAATCAATTCAGCAGTCATTTATCTAACATGTTTTTGTTATATGACAATATGGGACAAAACATGTATCACAAATATAAACTCACACTCGAGCTGGATTTACCTGCAACGATTCCCATGGTAATGTACATCTCAATGATGGAGTTGGTAAGGGCTGTTGTAATTGTACCCAGGCTGATCAGGAGTCCACCGAGCATGACAACAGGCCGATAGCCAAAGCGGTTACTCATCACCGTGGAAAGAGGAGCTGTGGGAAAGAAGGTGCCAATCATAAACACTTACAATAACACTCAGACACGGAACAGCTGTGACATATTTGCAGTTTTACAGCTCAAATTAAATTATAAACACAGTGAATCGATGCACTTCCTTCTCACAACTGTCCTAAACTACCTATTAATGGTGGTTTCATTTTTGCAGCAAAGGCATGAAGACAGTATCACTAGCAAGTTTTGCTTGGCCAGCCTAGTCACTTTCTATCTGATTTGAATGACTGCCGCTGTTTGAACAAGAATGATCCTTTGAAGCCCTCTCAGCTGGAAAAATGAATCCATCCATTGAGTCATGTAATGGTGGGGCTGCTTTGTCACTGGGCAAAGTGAGTGAATCTCCAACAGCCAGCAGTCCTTACACGGCACAATTTAGCACATGCACTAAATGGGGCATTGCTCGCTCTCAGCACAAATGTCAATGCCATGAGCTTGGGAGACAGAATCAGTTTGACAGGTTCACACTGAAGGAACTCAGTATCTTTTTGTGAATAATTCAAAGGGATAGTTGACCCATCTCTCACCATTATTTCATTTGTGAAACATTAAAAAGAAGATATTTTGAAGAAAGTTGGTAACCAAACAGTTTTGGTGTCCATTGACTTTGACTGAATGGACCAAAAGAGACATTTCTCAAAATATCCTCTTTTGAAATGACATGAGGGTGAGAAAATGATGGCAAAAATGTCACTTTTATAGGTCAACTATCCCCTTGAGGCTTGAGAGAATTACATGGAAATGACAGGTCTGATGACACAGCTTGTTTCTTAATTTTATACTTTAAACCCGCCCCGCCTTTTGGGATATGCCCGGTCTTTTTATAATGACCTATTTTTCCCCTCAACTTCCCTGAACTAAAACCGAGTTGTGTGTTTGGTGTAGCTTTGAAGTTGTGGTCACTGTAGATTAAAACCTGCATTGATAATTATGGAACAAACTTTAAAAATGGTATACAATGGCTTGTACAGATGCCTCTATGATAGTAAAAGCAAAAGCCAGTAATTAAAAATGGATTTAGGTTTGCAAAAGTGAAGTAACCCACAAAAACATTCATCATCTTAAATCTTTCTACAATACCATACAGTATTTTCTCTTGTGTAAACACCATTTGTATTGTGTAAACACTGTGAGGTACACCTAGTACTATCGTATTGTGTCTTTAAATGTCTAGACTGAATTACCTGTGAAGGCCATGACAAAGACACAGATGGAGACGACCCAAGACACTCTGCTGTTGGTTTCATTAAAGTCTGTGATGAGGTCCTGGAGGAAGATCCCAAAACTCTTGATGATGCCATAGGTGAAAACCTCCACGAAGAAGAAGGCGGCAGCCACCAGCCAACCCCAGCCTCCGTCTGGCACCTCATCGTACACATTGGGGCTCGTGCAGCCCTTCAGGGCAGACATTATTCCTGTCATGATGCACACCGGCGTTTTCTGTAAATGTAAGCAAAGTTACAGTACAGACCGTTTTAGGTATGATGTAATTTCCACACCGGCTTTGATGGTGTACCCTTGTCAACTCAACAGCGGGCTGTGTTTGCAAGCCGCTCATGTCTTTAATCGGCTCTGTCTGCTGGATTATTTTACCTTTCAAGGTGCTAAAACTCAGTTTGCATAAAACATTTGTTATGTAACCACTGTTAGGATATTAGAGAAAAATGGGAGTGCCAGAGCCAAGCAACACTTTCAAACTTTCATACATACATACATATATGTGTGTGTGTGTGTGTGTGTGTGTGTGCATGTTTATGTGGTTTAAGAGGACACAAATTTGTATAATAACATGGGTATGACAGGTATTACAACGAGAAGGTGATTTATGAGGACATTTTCAGTGTCCCCGTAATTCAAAAGGCTTATAAATAATTCAGAATGAGTTTTTTTGAAAATCTAAAAATGCAGAAAGTTTCCTGTAAGGGGTAGGTTTAGGTGTAGGGTTGGTGTAGGGCAATAGAAAATACAGTTTGTACAGTATGAAAACCATTACGCATATGGAGAGTCCCCATAAACCATAAAAACAAACCTGTGTGTGTGTGTGTGTATATACAGTATATGTATGTATGTATTATGAAGAGTCCAGATTCAGATGCAAAAATGCCGTCTGAAATTTTCTTTAAAAATTAGCATTTTTCTCAGGCTCCTATGTTTACGTTTAGTTATTTCACTTTAATGGCAATAAAAAGAACCCATTTATTGCCATTACACTGAAATTACTGAACCTACACATAGAAAGAAGCCTGAGAAAAATGCTCATTTTAGCAGAAAATTTCAAATGGCATTTGAACTCTTCATGTATATATATATATATATATATATATATATATATATATATATATATACAGTTGTATACATATTAATGTATAAGATAGTAGTGTCTATATACACTAATAAATACACTCTCTTTATATATATATATATATATATATATATATATATATATATATATATATATACAGTTGTATACATATTAATGTATAAGATAGTAGTGTCTATATACACTAATAAACTTCTAAAGATGTGGACTGTTAGCTATCAAGACACAAGTATAGGCACTGTTATAAGTCGAAAAATGACCTAGCTGACTATCATATCATAAGCGGTATAAATCTTCACTAGATAAACGTGGCAGTCACGTGCGCCACAAATACAGTGTATAGTTTGGGTATAAATCGTTTTAACTTACCGAGACGTTGAAGAAACTGAGGAAAACTCGGGGTATTGGAAGAAAACAAAACGCAAGAGAGCTAGCAGGCTTCTCCGTTGAAGTGTTCACTGGAGAACATCTGAGCATCAGTCACTTCTGCGGAGAACGAGTTAGTCACCCTGCTCATTGTGCTCAACATAGCGTTTCTAGCTTATGTTTGAATTTGAACACTGAAATAATAACTAGATCAAGTACTATGTGCCAGCTCAGCTCTCTGCCTCCTCTGTTTCCTCTTACTGAAGCGTGGCAGCTTTCGTAGCGGCTCGAGCCGGTCTCTGCAGCGCTACACCAGAGAGTCAGGAGCGCGCTGGGAACCGAGCTCAAATCCCAGCCGTCTCTGTGCGTGTTTATAGTCTATGGTTCACACAGAAAAAACACACGAAGAACACGTTTGCAAAAACAGATAAATCATGTTTTTTTTTAATCCTGCATTCCAATCATTACCAATCAATCTGCAGTTGGGTTGTTTTGATTAAATAGTAATAACTAAAAAACAGTCATTTTGTACACAACAATGTGAAACATCTTGTGAGGATCACTGCAGTGGCTCTGGGAAGGCGCGAGCTCTTCCGGGTAAAACAGGTTTGTTCCAGTTCTGCCTCCAGCACGAGCTGCCTCGTGAAGATTCAACTGTGTCAGCCCGCCTTTAATGACACCTTGTAAATATAGAGTACAAAATCTACATTTAGTAACACCTTTCGAAGAATTCCTTTCAACAAAACTCTTAGGTATGCAAACCTTGCTTTCCTAATTCATGAATAGCTATATATCAAAACTATTATAAAAACTACTACCTGCATTTACTGCTGTTGCGCAAACATAAAAAGATAGGCCTACTATTAACTTAAGAAACATTGTTGTTTTGTTTTTTCATACTGCTTTAGTTTTTTTTTTGAGAGATGAAAAGTTAAGGGACATGCACAATGTGGTTTTATTTTACGTTTTGCATTAAAATTGATACACATGTTTTTTGCATTACAATTGATACACATGTTTTTTGCATTACAATTGATACACATGTTTTTGCATTAAAATTGATACACATGTTTTTGCATTAAAATTGATACACATGTTCTTGCATTAAAATTGATACACATATTTTTGCATTAAAATTGATAGCCTATTGTCAGCACAACATTTTAAAGCTGTAGTCCGTAAGTTTTGCCTCTTTGTCGCCATCTCTGTTTGAAAACCTGGAATTGCAGCTGTGTGTGGAATTATCTAG